TGTCATAATGTTCATAAAGTAGATTTTTTATCTGGAGCCTCTTAGCATATTCAATCATATATCTTTAAATATTAATTTTTCATTCTCGATTTATAAAAAAAATCTTATATTTTGTTGTATCACACAAATACACAACTATCAAATAAAAAGAGTTTAAGCATACCATCAATTTCTAGGTTCTTATCATCAATTTTATGTAACGTAACCACAAAAGGAGGTGCGAGATTATTGCCTTGGCATATCGTTATAGTAAAGTTTTTGTCAAACGAACGTGACATTTTGTTAAACAAAATAAGCGAGTGTTCGGGAAAACGATTAATTTACATGTTTTTTCAAATCTAATTATTAATAATCGTAATCAACTTTGTTAAACATTAAAATGCGACACTACATGTTTTCAATAAATAAAAAAGAAACGTATAAGAATTTATAACTGGTATACTTTTTATTCAATTCTATGCTTGATAAATAATATAATCTTTAATAACATTTGGTCTTCATCTCATCAGCTCTTGAATATTTGTTATCGTAGATACCGTTTATCAAACGCTTATTCCGTAAGCGCTTACCGGGTGTCACTTACCTTATCGAGTGTGCATGACAAGTATCGAGAATCTTACTCGTAAGAGCATGACAAGGATAAAAAAATTTTACCCGATCAGTCAGGGAAAAAACTCGTACCTAGTAAACGTTTACCTGATAAAATACACTTGTCAACAATCCATTTTGATGATCGAGAATGTCACTCAATAAGGTAAACAAGGGTGGTTACCTCTGCCGGTAAACATTTTTGTAAAACGACCCCATAATTTAAAACTATCTATTTTATAAAACTAACATTTATTATGAGTCAAAACATAAAAAAATATAATATTGAGAGTTAGTTATATTGTGGTACGGAGGAGATAGAGCCAAAATGGTTGCCACCCAAGTGGGAAGCCAAAACGTACTAGTACCATTTTGGTAAGTGGGCATTGCTACTCACGAAAAGCTTCAATTCCATGATTCATTATCCCCGTGACTCCTTATAATTAAGTTGGCTTCCACTTATGCGCATGTGAATGGTCGGGTTGGAGTCATGGTTTTAAAAATGCTTGATCTAGGTCTAATATGCTAAGGACCGACCCTCGATGCATGATTCCGATGGGTCCAGTGTGGATCTAACTTTTTGATTGATTAAACGACTATTTTACCCTTATTAATAATTTTTTTTTTCCTAATCTCATAATTATTTTAAAAGTCGAGACTTGTTTTTGAACAAGTTAAAGTAAGCATGTAGAGACTTTATTTCAGGCGAAAGGAGTATTATATTATACACATTATTAAGTTCACGGAAGATCGTATGAGAATAAGAGTTAAGATAAGAAGTGTAAGAAGTAATCTTGACCCTTGATCACTTTTTAATTTCACCCGCATCCCATGAATTGTGCTTATCATTGGGATTGTTTCGGGCATGTGGCATGCCATGGCCCAACTCTACACGGTTTTTGTAATGTAATATTTAATTGTTCTTATTTTCTTAGTCTTTAGTATATAACATAATTTAAACTGCTTAATATCATTTGCACACTGAGTTTATGTGTATATATGTATGATATATACATTTGTCATTATAAGTCACGCATTGAAAAACGTTATGACCTCGTCGTGGCGCCTAAAGCTTGAGCTTTAACCTCGCCATCACACGACTTACGCCGTTTAGATACTCTCCTTATTAACCCTAAAAACTAATAGGCGGGTTTGCACCCCCTAAATCTAACGACAACTGTATCATGTCGAATCAGATAATACATACGGAAATACGAGTATCGAACTAAAGGAACTAGAGACTGAGTATCACAATAACTATGACTATGACTACCATCATCTGAGCTGTCAATAAAGGTGATTTGATTGAATAAGGGATTATTTAATCAAGCTAAAGGAAATGTTGAACAATTTCATAAACGAAAAGTTAGAAATTTTGTTAGGAGAAATGCAGTTGGGAGTTGGACTCCTAATGATTTCCACATAAAAAACTTCAATTGTAATAATTATCAGGTATTATATATATATATATATATATATATATATATTAAAGGAAGAACTAAAATATTGTTCATGAGAAGTTTTCTATCATATTTATTTTTTATCTCATTATTTTGATTTATTTTTAATATATAATCAACATATTAATCACTAGAGCATCTAAGGTTTTAGGCTACATATAATATTAAATGATTTTGGCAACAGACCAAGAAATAAGATCAAATATTGATAATTTAATAATATAAGGACATCTTTGGAGCTTTTTGGCAAGAGACGAAAAGGAGTATGAGTTCGATATATGAAGCCAACTATAATGTTTTAATACATTAATGGTATTTTGAGAGATTTTGTCATGAAGCCAAATAACTATTGGTTTTGACATAAACATAAATAAATAACTGATACGATAAACTAACTGCAATCTAATTGGATAAGCATCTAAATATATGAATATTAAGATGAACATTTAAATTAACCATCTAAATAAACGAATATTGTAAACTAGTTGGGTAAACATTAATAAATAATAATAACAGTTAAAAACGATAAATACTATACTAATCCAATTAAAATGAGGTGAAAACAAAGTTAAATTAATCAAAAGTCTAATCCGTTATTTAGAATAGTTTAAAAAATAGGTCTCATCATCTAACTAAATAAAACTAATTAAATATTGTTGGTCACGGTTCCAGCATCTTCCTAAATCGAAACGTGGCGCTGGCTGCTACGCTATTAAGGAAATAAGGTTGCGCCTTCACCAAGACAATTGCTTTTGGTGTAGTGGGTAAGCGTTTGATCCTAACAAATATATATCAGTAGAAATAAATAAAGAAAACATAAATGTAATTGATCTACTTTAGATAAATACTTAAAATAATTAATAATTAATTGATAAGTTCAATTTAACTCAACATCTGTGGATAACAATAAAATACATACGTCATTAAAAATATAATGGATTTACTAATTAGCCAAAAAATAAATAAATTAGAATAGTGGATAATTAAATCAACACAAGTGACTGATAATAATATAAAGACTTTGATATAAAAATAATAATCAATCTTTTCTTTTTCGATGACAACAGAGAAGGGATCCCAGATTTAATTCCATTGGTATTAAACATAAATTATAGTCAATAAAACACAAAACAAGATAGCAGATAAAAGATTATAAAAGGATTTAAAGAAACGAAATCTATAAAGATTTGAATTTTTCTTTATAGTTAACATCATTTTATATAAAAATGTAAAGCATATTTAGAGGTCGTTTACTTAAACACTTACCCGGTAAATACTTACTGATAAAATTCAACACTATCGTGTACTTACTGAGTAAGATTTTATTTACTAAAACGCATCGCATGCAACAATTTAATCCCGGTAAGCGTTAACCATAGTAAGAGTGATCGCCCTCACTTACCGGGTAAGACTTTCGATTTGTGTCTTCGCTCTTACCGGGTAAGAATCTTAGTCCTTGACATATTCATCCGGTAAATTAAAGTGACTTGGTAAACGCTTAGTCGGGTAAGCATTTGGTAAACAACATCTTAGTAAACAAATCAAACAAAAATTATCAAAGTTATATGATGCAGTTAAAATTAAATTATATTAAAATAGAATTAATGTAATTTGATAACATGATATATGATAAATAATTAATAATTAAATAAAAATCAACCAATAATTAGTAAAAAGAATATGAATTAATCTTCAGTTTACATGAAATCAAAAACAAATTTTAAGATTTTATATATTTTGTTGTATTGGGTTAAATGATATTTTTAATTTTCAGCCGACGAATTTGAATCTATATGCTCATGTTTTATGGATGCGGAGAAAAAAAAAAAAAATATATATATATATATATATATATTCATGGTAACATCATCAACCTAATTATATTAATGGTATTGAAGTTCATAACTATAAGAATGCTTACTTGGATTGTAAAAATGTTGACGACTGATTGATTAAGTTGGAAACCCGAAAATCTACAGATGACCTGTTTGATCATACGTGCTGATAACTTGTTATAGAATAACTGAAAAAGAACAACAATAGAATTAAAAGAATGAACATGTAATTCTCATTAATTATAAGTCTTTTTTATAGAGATGAGTTACAAGTAGATAACTACGAGATATTTCACTTCTAATCTAACTCTGATATATCTATCTTTATCGTCATATCGTTTTGTCGAACACTTATCTTGCAACATTTAATTCATTTTTACGGTTAAGAAAATTAAAACAAAACTATTTAATTTGATTATAAAAATTAAATAATTATGAATTGGATTCGGTTACATTTTTTCGATTCAATTATCATCAATGATAAAAATATAATGAAAATATTTTATGATACAAAACTTGCGTCCCTCTCGCAGTAGAGTTCCAAACCTCGCCTCGCTCTTGTGACATGCTATGTTTCCCCTCTCTGATTTTTCCACCGAAAGTATAGAAGATAAGGTGTAAAATGTAAATCACTAGGGGACTCCTTTTGTAAAGCAACTTATTGTGCTTTTATTCCAGCCAACGGGCGTTTTCTAGAATCAGAAGGAAGCGCTATAATGACCACAAGTGGCCAAATTATGAACGTAGCAACGAGCAAGGGATAATGAAGTTTCCGATGCAATTTGCAACAAGCTGCTTAACAGCGACATGCAATAAGCAAAACAACCGTTTAGAAACAATGAAGAACAGTTTTGTGTTTGCATGTTATAATATAAATGAAAGAGAATAACAGTAAAACAAAGAAAATGAATCATTTTTTCTTTAAATGGAGACCGATTACAAGTAAATAACTACGAGATATTTAATTTTAATCTAACTTTATTTATACAGTCATATTCTTTAAACGATGACATATTTATCCTACAACATAAAATATATTAATAATGAGTGATAAATAAATAAATAATTTTGAAAAATAAATCTTTATTAATAATTTAAATCAAACTCGAAATAAGTTGAGAGTTCAAAAGGAAAAGAAAACCCCCATTGGATTTGGAGAGGAAGGGGACCGCTCTATCTGCTAACATACGAATCCGTACCGTAATTCCGAAATGCAAAGTTTTCTGCTGCCGGCAGCTCGTTCCGGCAGTGCACCGCCGCCGTTGGCCGTAAACAGACCCTCACTACCGAACCTCCACCGACCTATTTCTGGACTCAATATCCCCTCATTGCCTACTCATCCATCGCTTTTCTTTACACCGTCTTCGCCTTTTTCCCCTCACATTTATCGGAATCAAATCAAATACCCTAATAAGCGCGCTTCAGCTCCCATTTGTGCGGCCAACGATTCACCCAATGTAGACCTCGATAAAGCAAAACTGGCTCAGGTATTTGATGAACATATATTTATTTTCGTCTCCCCCGCATACGATCTTCCTAGGGTTTTTCAATTTGATACTTGCACCCAACAGTTCTGTTCAATGTTCAAATGATTGTGGGATCGTGTGGATAGGGTTTTGACCTCATTCTAAGTTCTAATTGGAAGTGACGGGTTGTTACGTTGTGTATTCTACTCTGAATTCCGTAGAATTGCTTAGTTAATGTTAGCATCTCTCATTGAAACACCAAAATAATGAAAATTGAACCAGTATTATTGAATTTATTAATGTTCATTTACTCTCTTTTATGCTTTCTTATCACATTTATTAGCAACAATTAGGGGTGTTCATTTTACTGCCCGACCCGCAAAAGCCACCTGCAACACAACAAACTGTGCGGTTTCAAACTTTTGCGGTACAGTTTGCAGTTTGTTTTGCGATTTTCAATAACTCAAACCTCATCCCTGTCGGGAAACGATGCTCAATATCACTCACAAACACGGCGACGATAAAGTAAGAACAGGAAAAAAAAACACAGGATTTTACGTGGTTCACTTGATCGGTCTGATCAAGCTAATCCACGGCCACACTAGTAAGGATTTTATTGATATGACGGTTGGGGTTTACAATTATATAAGATTGAATTTATATATATATATATATATATATATATATATATATATATATATGCATAAACCGCACCGCAATTTTACAGTTTGAGGCATGTGCGGTTTGGAAAAATGCTCGATTTGGTTTGCGGTTTTGACTCTAAACTGTACCGCATCACACTGCAAACACTCTTAGCAACAATGGCAAATTCTTTATTACAAACGAGGTTGGGGTAGGGTAAGGGGCCATTTACCAAACACTTGCTAGGTAAGCATTTACCGGGTGTTATTTACCTTATTGGGCGAGCATGACAAAGACCGAGAATCTTACCCAGTGAGAGAGAATCTTATCCACGATCTCCGTTCGAGACGACCAAATGTCAAATCTTACAGGTTGTTTGCCCTTTGTATCTTAGATTGTTTGGCTTCTTCTAAAGGTCTCTAGTTCTTGGAAGTGTTTGTCTTATCAATTGTGATACGAGACTAGGCTCTGAATAGATCTTTCAGGACAGAGAAGTTGAAAAGGCAAAGTGACAACTCGGAGCAAATACGAAACATCAATATTGTTCTACAAGAAAAGTAGATTTTGACAACCCAATAAACCAAACCACACCAAACAAACCCAATATTTCCCGTCTGAAAGCAAGGTCCGGAAGGGTGGGATGTACGCAACCTTGACCTCTACCTCAAAGGGTAGAGCAGAGGGAGACCCGGCTTGCACAAACGTGTGACCGAAAGGGAAAGGACAAATATGAAAAGGATAAAGGGAAAGAAAAGAAGAAAAAGGAAAAAAGGCACAAAGAAAACAAATATTGTAACGATCCAATGCTAATCGGGTGTTGTTACTTTCTTCTTATACTATTTAGTCTTGTATGTGAACTAAAATTTAACTTTAATTCTTTCATAGCGTACTATTACATCAGATTGAAATATTAGCAGAAACGTAACTCAATGACTTATAATACAACGAAATTTTGCTATTGATTAGATTAGTAACTACTTCATGCTATCTCATTTTACTCCTTCCTTGAGATACATACATGAAATATGTAAGCTTTAAGCTTTAGTGAGTAGTTATGGTTTCATGAATAGACAATTTTCATAACACCTATCAATTTGTGGATAATAATTCATAAAACTCTTCATCATGCACAAAATACCAATACATTTATATAGCATATATGTATCTCATTAAATCTCAAAATGTACTCACCTTGTTTCGCTTTTAGCTTTTCTTCCACTTTGATTTCGCACTTCAAACTTTGTATTGTTTTAATCTTTGAGAGTGTTCTCTTACTTTGGGATGGAAATAATGGTTTCATTTCAATCACTATTTATAGGTGATTGCAATGTATTAACTACTTGTTTTTCTTGCTCACATGGTTGTACTCTCATGAGAGTTTAACACCTTCGTGCTTAAAACAAAAGAATCTTGATGCATCATGCTTCTAGCTTTTATTTGTCATCATGAATTTTGCCAACACATACTTCTAGCTCTAACAACTCATAACTAGTTTGCTTTGTCACGCTTACTAGTCTTGTTTTGTCATCAATAATTTTGCCAACATATACTTCTAGCCTCAACAACTCATAACCAGTTTGCTTTGTCATGTTTTTAGATTTGATTTCTCATGTTATGCCTTGTAGCAACTTATCATCTAAAATGTGATGATTTATTGTTGCTAATGTTGGTCAGCTGTTAGTGCCTTTTTAGTGCACTTAATTTGATCATAATACTTGTATTTTCAACTAACAACACCGAAAGCTAACATATATACAAACTAGGGTGTTACAAATACAGAGTAAGAAAACATACCCAAACTCTCCACCTAATGTAGGTCATTGATAACCCCAACTTCCAACTCCCTAAACCCCTCCTTGTCCTACCCTCGTCCTCCCAAACTCTATACATCTTATGCACACTAATTACATGTCCCTATCTTAATTCTACCACCCTAGTCCTACATCTCCAAGAACTCTTGTCAGAGATCATGTTTTCGGAAATGACTAATGTCCAACCTCAATTGCTCATACCATGTCCTCCTCGGTCCTTCAACCACAACACTCTCTAATCTCCTCACCGGCCCTGCCATTAGTCTCCAGCTCGCATGTCCAAACAAGTTTCCTTCTCGCAATGAAGCGATAATACTAATTGCTCTAGATCTTAGGTAATTAGATAACCATTTTGGTATGCTCGCTTGCCTAGTTGGATACCCTTCGTTATATGTGCTGGATTCACAATCCTGTATTTTCCATGAACCCATGTTGGTATTCCATTTTGTGGACTACTAAAACTATAGCATGATGCAATTGTAATTTTTCAATAAGCTCAAAAAATAAACTTGCTTATGGTTGGCAAACATAGCCTTAGTGCACTTATTTCTTTTCTTTTTCCTTTTTAGGAAGTCTATAATTTATGACGTTATCTTTGTGGTTTGTAACTTTGTATTTATATTGTCCAATAAAACGTATGTGTGTTAGTTAGCATGCAATGCATTCACATAAATTTCTTTTGAGTTCAGATTTTAAAGTCATTGACACAAGTAGGGTGAAGGAAAATTATGGCTCATTGATCAAACATCTATACTTGAAGTTGCGATTAAGAGTTATGCCAAAATTTCATGGTTGTGTAGGTTGCAAAGAGATTAGAGAGTACTTCAAGGTATTTCAAGAGATTGGGTAGCTTAGGGTTTTGGGGACAGCTTGTTTGTACGGTTGTAGCTGCAGTCATCCTTTCGTTTTCAGTTGTGATTACTGGGAAGATCACGTCACCAGCTACATTCTATTCTACTGTTGGTGGTATTGTAGCTGCTTTCCTCTCGGTGTTCTGGTCATTTGGCTATATTCGTCTTTCTGATAGGCTTCGGAGAACCGTCAACGACCCTTCTAAGGTATCTTTCTTAACATTTAAGGGTTCCAATCATATATAATGCATGATCCACAAGCCACATTGTTATGTTATCTTTTAGCAATGTAACAACTTGAATACCAAACAACCCACCATTTCTTGGAACCATTATTTATGGTCATGTTGGTTATCAGGCTCCTCCTCGTGGTGAAGTTGTTAAGAGATTGAAAAATGGCATAACCTTAAACCTTTTGGGCATCGGTGCTGCTATCCTGGGGATGCAAGCGACTGTAGGAATGCTGGTGGCGAAGGCTCTCACAACGTCGGCTAATCCATATTATGTGGGTATTCCCCCTGGGAATAGCCCTGTTCTTGCATTGGATGTCTTCTTGGTGCAGGTATTCTATTCTTGTTTCAATTTCGAGATTACAATGATCACAACTCTTTTTTATGGTTTGTTCTTATCCATCCATATTTGATTGTTGCAGGCCAGTGCCAATACTATCCTATCACATTTCTTGGGACTTGTGTTTTCGTTGGAGCTACTGCGCTCCGTGACGGTACCACCTACGGATAGCGTCCCAGTTCCCAGGACAGCGGCAGCATGAGTTTGCAGACCGTAACAAGATTCGCATAAACAATGAGTGCTTGAACAAGCATATCTTTTGTGCACATTTAAGAAAATCTCTTAACTTTATTTTCAAGATGCAAACTAAAACCTTGTCTGTATCATAGACAAAGTTTTGTATTGGTTTTAAAATATATCCTGAAGTAGGGTTCAAGATGACCTTCCATTTTGTTGAGTTTCTTTTAAAGGGTGTTTGCTTTGATAGTATGATTTTGAAAGATTTGGATTTCGTAAAAGGATTTAGTGTGTTTGGTTTATAGGATTTGAAATAAAATTGAATTTTATTATGTATAAATAATTTATAAAAATAATTAAATTACCTTTTTATTAATTGTGAGAATTCTAAACCCTATGTATGTAGAATTTCAATTCCAAAATTTCCTTTAAACCAAATGTAAAATTGGAATGAAATTCAATTTAAAATCTCATAAACCAAGCAGGCCTTATTTGTGATTTTAAGGTTTGTTTACATACAATGATTAGGAAAAAAACTGCTACGTTTTCTCTTTGGTTGAACAATCTTGAAAGCAACTTTACACAATCCAAGAAAAATATTACACACAAAAAGACTTATGGCCTGCTTGTTAATAGAACTCAGATTATTCAATCAGTTATACTTATACATGATTGTTTAGTATTGCCTCAGTGATATAAAAAGTGGCTAATTCAACAAGTTTTCAAAGGAAAACTTTATACAGAAAGCCAAGTTTATTCCAAACTTGTCCCTCCCAAATTATAAGCAAGCACCCTCCACCTACGAAAGAACTCTCCCAAACAAAAATCTTTCCAACTTATACAAAGGCAAAAGATACTATAATATCCTTCCAATCACTACCAGAAATATACCAAAAAGTACAAGCTGAATAACCACTCACCCTAAACCTTACATCCTCCTGTAATCTAAGACGACAATAACCATAATCTTCTTCTACTCGAGTAGAACAAAACACATCAAGACTTGCAATGACCAGACAACTATCTACAAAACGAAGTATCAGCTTTCAAGATCCCGTTGTAAGCATATGACTGCCGATAATTCTTCTACATCCACATCACTCAAAATACTAGGAGGGTTTTCATTTTAAGCAGCTGGCGCAAGAAACCTGATGACAGTTTTGCATTGGTATAAGATGGTAAATGAACAAATCAACAAGTAAGCGGATATAAAAATAAAGACATCCAGTATGCAACATCACCATCTGCTTCCTGGATTATTATGATGAAAATAGCCAGTTGGCATTTATCAAGTAAAAGGATTTCATATTAGTTTCATATTTGGAGGCACTAGGTTTAACATTCAAAGGTCAAACAAAGACAATTATACAAGAACTGTATGAAATCATTATATACAAAATTACAGATCCTTACAAAAAAGTAAAGGATACATAATAAACCACAATGAGCAGCATACACACACACACACATGTGTGTGTGTGTATATATATATATTGAAGTGCTCAGAGTTACAAGAACCAGAAAGACTGCATTAAGATGTGTTGTATCGGACCCTAGATAAATAAAAGGCACATATTACCAAATGATCATAATCATCAGCCAGTTAAGAACTGGCTCTTATTCATATGCATATTCTACAGATTTCTACATAACCACCAGTTACCAAGTGTACTGCTGGCAGATCATAATTCTACCATGCATCAGCTTTATCACAACTATCTTAAGAAAAAAAACCACTAGTTGAAATCAAAACTAAACTCTCATAACAGTGTTGTTTGTTTTACAGTGCCTGTAAAAACTGAGTTGCAAATATGATATAGGTTCATCCTAAAGCTTTGAAATGACTATTCATCCAGGTTTTAGAAGTCAATCAAAACCTCATACCATGTCTTGCTATAATCAATAGGGTGGTAAAAAGAAAACTTTGAAAAGTGCATTGTACCATGTCAAACATAGTACAACAAAATAAGATCCAATCAAATTTGTTGAAATGATATAACCCTTTTCTCACACCTCAATCCAGCTTATAAGGTGTAGTTGCTACATCCTCTGTTTAAAACCATCCAAATATAGCCTCAGTTGAGTGACAAGAGCAGTCTCTATTTTATAGCTGTAGAACAAGTGATGTCATATCCCAACTGTAAAGTTGATGTAAATCTTACATACCCAAGGATCCCTTTTATGTTCTATAGGTTCACTCATTATATACATACCTCAGTTTTGCAAAACCAAGGTAACAACTTTATGGTCTGTTTTCACCATACAATAGCATATGGCAGCAAACAGCTTTCATGAGTAACAGTCTTCACTGGTTAACGTTTTAAGTGTATTCAACAAATTCAGTAGAGGCTCCTTCGGTGGTGAACTAAGTGTTTCATGTAAACCAATAACTGAGAGCACGATAATAGGACTTGTTATTGGCATATGGTGGACTTGTTGATCATTAATTTACTCAGTGATCGTCTTGGTTCAATAGATTATGTAGCATAGATCAGAGAACTATTTGAATATACTACCTATTTGACATAACAGTAGCATCTAAAATACATATGCTGCAGCAGAAGTCTATCATTCACTGGCAGCTTACTTGTCTGCAAAATCAGTACTCCTGGCATGACCCATTAAGATGGGGCTAACGTGATGCAAATAACCAGATACAGATAAGTTTTGGAAACCACAAATAATACTGTCTTGTATACAATCAAGACCTCATTACGAGGACCATATTTCACAACAGCCTCAATAGAATACAATCCTAAAGCCTTCGATTCTAAGTTAGTAGGTAGGCTTTACAGATAAGAAACAGCCATAATATATATCCCGCATCAATGGTGCTACCTACTATCTTCACCAAGTAAATTGATCTTTAGTATAAAGAACAAGCATGAGCAACTTGTGACTAAAGCACTCAGAACTTTAACACTTAGCCTAGAATATCGTGAAGTAGTTAAACACAGTTTTTTCAAGAGGAAACAGAGAGTGATTGCTTGCTTACCATTACCCTATTCGATCTTCTTTTCCTTCTTTCGGGACATTGGGATATTTTGTAAGATGAGATCAGCTTTCTTGAATACAGTGCTCAAGTTCTTGTGTACAACTAACAACTTGTCATCTACTTGAGGCTGGAATGTGTCATATAAAAAAGGAACTGACAAACTAAGAAGGATCCCTGAAGTGAAATTCAGAAATATTGTCAAGTCTGTAGTGATATAATTGGCAGGCAAAAATTTTGAGACATAACACCACAAAACTGCTCACCAATGTAGATCAGTGTAAGAAAGTTAAACAAACTACCAATATAGGAAATCAACCATAAGCCAAAAGCAACCTGAAAAATCGAACTCACATTACACAATCATATAACAAATGCTTGCAAGTCAAACTCAAAAACATATATCTTGAAAAAGAAACAGGTAAAATTCAAGCTATTATACCAAAATTAAAGTTCTCAAGTTTCCATCAACTGCAATTTCATGCATGGTTGATAAAGCATTATTAACCCACACTCGCATCTCATCAGCAGTGGCAAGAACTGATTCTTCTGATATGTCCAGGTCAGGAATTGGAGGCAGGGGTCTACAATCAGGTATATATCATTAAATAATAAACAAATCCAAGTGCATAAGGTGTAGATAGAACAGCAAACCCAGCTGCTCAAACCAATGAACTGACACAATAACCTTACTGAGGAATCACAAAACGTTGTAAATGCAATGCTACATCACTATCCGTAGTTAAAAAAAAAAAAAACCCTAGACATGTACTGTTACATGGAAATTACAACGTACCATTTATCTGCTAATAAGGGATGGAAGGGTTAGACTACTTTGTGATGAAGAACTATCCTATAAATAGGCAAAAGAATACACCACCGTTCCATAGTTGGAGTCCACAAAATAGATTTCCTTATTGCAAGATGAGAATCCCATACAGTCACCGCAAGATTCCCTCTCACCATCTATATTAGGTTTAGGAAGTAGGCTCTAGTGTCGGGATGAAGGATGAACTGATATATCATATATGTATTCTTATCTAACTGCTACTAAGCAGAACTTCTTTCACTAGAACTAAATACAGTTTGCATCAACTTCTGATCCAAAAACCAACACCAGACACAATAAAAATAAGCCCTACACTCATTAAGAAGAAGCATAGACGCACCTATTGAGAAGAGACGCAGATTTTGCCCAGAAAAAGAGGATTACAACCACAAGCAGTAGAGCATTGGCGACGAATGCTAAGAAGTTATATCCTGCTCTTTCAAAAAGAAACCAGATGACTGTGGAAACAATTAACACTACAACTCCTCCGTAGCATTTCCTCCAGAGCAATGTATCCGCAACTGCAACACCGAGAAACAACAACTTACATACACGTAGTGGCATCAAGAACGAAAAGATCATCACAATCAATCATATTATACAGCAGAAATAACATGGAAATCAACCTGATGAAGAAAATCCTAAACTGTAATGCAGTTATATATTTCAGATTGGTATACAGCGAATTTTAACATCCAGTGAAATCAAAGAATGCAATACACCATAGATGTATGCATATAGAAACAGATGCAAAGTGATAGAGATGTGGAGAGACACCTGCGCCGCCTCCTAGAGCGTCATAGACGGAAACCCGACCGATTTCACCCATGGCGATTAGGGTTTTTTCTCGGAGAGGGCGAAGGGAGGGAGATTTTTGAAGGGTGTTGGTACGCAAAGCGTTTCAAAAGGTTTTTACATAAAACGTAAGTGTATGAGTTATTAAATGAGGAGTAAATTACAATTTTAGCCCCTACGGTTTGTTGTTTATAAATATTTCTATCCCCAGTTTTTACAAATTACTTTTATATTGTTATAGTTTCTATTTTGTTCCATTTTTCATCCTTTCGAGTTTCGACTAACAATATTGTCCATTAAGGGGCTGTTTACCAAATGCTTACATGAGTAAACGCTTACCAAATCACATTACATTATCGGATGAATACGGTAAGGACCAAAAATCTTACATGATAAGAGCAAGATAAGGACCAAGAGTCTTACTCGGTAAGTGAGGGCAACGACTCTTACTACGGTAAGTGCTTACCGGGTAAATTGTTGCATACGATGCCGTTTTGATGAACTAAAATCTTACTCAGTAAGTAAATAATAGTGTTAATTTTTGCCGATAAACACTTACAGAAAATGAGAAATTTTAAATAGTTAGTTTGTTATTAATATCAATATTTTTTTTCAATTTATTATGATATATCTTCATATTTAGGATTTATTTAAAAATAAAAACATTATCTTCATACTTAAAATTAAATAAATTACTAAAAAAAACAATGAAAAAAGATAAATGGGTAAAGGATGCTGGCATTTAGGTTTAGAGGTTGCATCACACCTTCATGGACTAGGGCACATCAACCACCACACCAATCGATGTTGCAATATTTTTAGGTTCATTTAATACATGAATTATAATTATTTATCTGGTATTTGATACAATTAAAATATGACTAAATAAACTATATGTATAAAAGTTGGTAAACTGTAACAGCTCATCCCATATAAAAATGAAAAGTAATTTTTACCATTGTTTCAAGTTGAATCTGAAGTTATTGAGTTAACATGTTGTTTTATGGGAGCCATAATGTACATTCATCATTTCATATTTGACTTGGAAACATTTAACATAGATTTTCTTTTTTTTGAATTAACCTGGATATTCAACTCGCTATGCGAGCCGACTAATCTTAGGGCGACCACCTGTTTTGTAGATAGCCCGGAGTCACCTCATTTAAACATCCGTGGCCACAAGAGGATTTTTATTTCTTCTTGGATTTAAACTTGAGACCTCCTGGTACTTTTGATCTTTGGAGCAAAACTCAAACCAATTAGACACCATCATTATGGTTATTTAACATAAAGTTTCCGACCAACATAATGCAATTCCATCATAATTGTGTTTGAATAAATATGAAAATGATGACATGTGAGTTGTAACATGCGCTTTTTTACCTTGTAGACTAATAGACTTCTATTATTTATCAAAAAGGTGATTCGATTGATGGAGATTAAAACGACATTTTTATTTTTTAACGTGGTTTTTTTTAATTGTTGCATATGATACCATTTTGATGTACTATAATATTACCCGGTAAAATAAATTATAGTGTTGACTCTTAACGGTAAGTGCTTACCGGGCCTTAGTGACGATGAAATCAACACTACAACCATTTGATTTAAATCTTTGGCCTCTTTTCTTGGTGGGTTGTTTGTCTCCGAACTTTTGTTGTTGTTGGTTCAGTCTTTGGCTTCTTCTCCTTCTTTGCTACCAATTTTGTTGTTAATATTTGTGGTTTCTTTTCTAGGGAACTTGCTACTTTCGCATATTGTTATTTCCATACCAAACCTTGTTATTTCTACAACGAGAGGAGGAGAAAAATAAGGCTATACATGTTTGATAATACTTTGGTGCTAATTATATTTCATCATGTTTCTACTGCTATTGGATATACTGTTGTTGTTAAAGGTGTTCAGAAAGTCGGTTGATCAATTTAAAATCAACCAAACATAATCGGACATCCCATTGCAATCGGAGAAGATCGGATTCAAAATAATTCAACATCCAAATTGAATATGTTGGCTTTTGAATGATAGCCCAAATTTTTCTTCACTAAAATAAACGATAAAATCGACAATTTTCATGGTTTGTACCAATGACTTGGTTTGTGAAATACCCTCCCTATATATATATATATATATATATATATATAGAGAGAGAGAGAGAGAGAGAGAGAGAGAGAGAAAGAAACGATCATATGCAAACCATCCAATTTGTACAAACTGTGCAAACCACTCTCATCCGTCGATTTCATTGTTTAATTTTACAAATTTTTTTCATGAAATTGTTTAATCTTGTGAAATAGTTTCATATAATTTTTTTTTGATGAAACTGTTTTATATATGGTTATGAAATTGTTTCATATAATTTTTTTTTGATGAAGTTGTTTCATATATGGTTATGAAATTGTTTCATATAATAGTTAATGAAATTTTAATGAAACTGTTTCATGTATTCCTCTAAAATTAAAATAATGAAGATGATAATTTACATGATTAACGCCATCCACAATAAAAATGATTAATTAAATTCTCATAATTACAAAAAAAATGAACAAAATGAAAAATTATGATTGGTTGAATGAGGTTTGTACGGTTTATACAAATAACGTGGTTTGCAAAGTGGACCTCCTCTCTCTCTATCTCTCTATACATACATACATATATATATATACATACATACATACATATATATACATATATATATATAGAGAGAGAGAGAGAGAGAGGTTGACTATTATACATCCCTTGATATTTGTGCAACCAATACAACCCAATCTCAACCGTCCATTTCATTTGATTAATATGTGATTTCATAAAAGTTTTAATTGTTTTCTAATATAAAGTATTGATCATAATTAATGAAACATATTTATCTTCTATAAATATTCAAATCATAATAAATTAACTCTTATCATTTTCATAAATATCTCAATTTATTGGGTTACATTGGTTGTACAAATGCGATTGGTTTTATTTGAAACAAACTATATATATATATATATATATATATATAAGGATATTATATTTAGTTGATATTCGTAGGTATTTTTTATAAAATTAAGAAAATATATGAATACCTGGTTGAAATAATAGATTAAGTGGTTAAAAATTTGATAAAATTATGGGAAAAGTCTAAAAAAAACCCAATGAACTTTAGTGTTTGGAATGATTAAGTCATTGGACAATTTTTTGGAACAAATAAGTCTTTGAACATTCCAAAACATGTTAAATAACTCATTGGACAATTTTTTTTGGAACAAATAAGTCATTGGACATTTCAAAACATGTTAAATAACTCATTGGACAATTTAAAACATGTTAAATAACTCATTGGATAATTTTTTGGAACGAATAAGTCCTTGGACAATCCAAAACATGTTAAATAACTTCTTGGACTTTTCTAAAACCTGTTGGATACATTTCTTATGACTTGTACAACTAGTTAATGTGGTAAAATAATGGAAAAAAAGTCCGAAAAAAAACCCAATGAACATTCATATTTTGAACGATTAAGTCCGTAAACATTTTTTGAACAAAAAATGATTTAGATCTATAAAATTAAAAAAATATAACAAAAAAGTATTTACATTTACAAAAAAAAATTACATTTAAAAAAATATTTTTGATAAAATTTATTTTAATTAAAATTAAAATATATTTAGTCAGTGATTTTTCAAACTAAAAAAAATAAAAAAAT